TATACAATGGTTACTATGATGAGTTTTCACCGTTTGCTCTCCAGTTTTCAAAATGACGTCCAAGCAAGAGGAGAAGCGTGTCAAAATTTATTCTCGCGCAGCAAGAGAATCCGACGTTCTCACACGAAACTTTTGTGAAGGCAGATTTCAAGCAGCTTCCGGGACAGGAATTTTATACCGCATCAGGAAAAGGGAAGGTGACGTTCCCCTCCTGACGTTCCAGTCTTTTTATTGGTCCATTGTTCTCGATAAATTCTTCAATTTCTAACCATAGAACTTGGGTTATTTAAGGGTATTGAGGTTAATGCATATTCATAATCTGCATTAAAAATGGATCCGAAATCCAAAATTTCATCAATTTTGGTACACTCAAACTATTTTAAATAAGTGCGATTTGATTGGCAAAATCACCATCTTAGCGCCCCTCTGTGGGACTTTGTATAGGAGTGAGCTGTCAATTTGTTAGTTTACTGTCAAACAGTGATGTCATTATTTTGCATTGAATCTTGAATCGATAAGAAAGTCTTCGAAAAAAATTCGTTGTGCTTTTTCAGATGATGTAAATTAACCGATAAATTTTTCAACATTTAAGAAGTCAATTGCGTGTATTGCGATGGTAGACAGATTCTGTGGAGACCTTTAAACTCAATAAATTTGAAATAAGCTTTACATTACATTAAAGGGTGTATTCGATAAAAATGGCACAATGGGTTATGATTTACAAAATTTGTTTTATTCAATTTCGTCTCCCATCCCGAATGCCCGCCCCTTCCTTTTCACTCCACCCATCAAATTTTGTACAACCAATTATTCCAGTGTTTTTGTTGTTTTTACCCAAATTTTCTTCAACTCCAGCTCTGTTTTAATAGGTTTGGGATGTTTGCGAAGTTCCGTCTGCATAATTGCCCAGAATTTTTCAATTGAGCGAAGTTCCGGTGCATTTGGTGGGTTCATATCGTTTGGCACAAAATTGACTCCGTTGGCTCGGTACCACTCAACACGTTTCGAGCGTAGTGGTATGATGCTAGATCAGGCCAAAACAGAGTTGATCCTTTGTGCTTCATTATGAAAAGCAATAAACGCTTCTTAAGGCACTTCCGTGTAAATCGCACCGTTGATTGTTCCGGAAATGATGAAGGGAGCGCTTATTTCACCACATCCGCAAATCGCCTGCCAGATCAGGAACTTTCGATAATTTCATCTTTCGAACATCCTCCGGAACATCGAACTTAAACTTGGCAACGAAATATTCTTACCCAGGAAGTTGACGGAAGTCGGCCGTGACGTAAGTTTCGTGATGGATGACGAAACTTACGTCAAGGCCGACTTCCGATGCAACACGATTTGGTGAGCAACTTAGTGTACAGTTTCCGGGACCGGATTGTTGCAGTGATTTTTTGCTTTTCATTCCGTTTTAGGGCTTTTTGAACCTTGTAAACATTTAACCCAGCACACTTCATGATTTTCTGCACAAAACCGACTGACACCTTGAACTTTTTAGCGACATCTCGAATTGACATGTTTGGACAGTTCTTGAAACAGGTTGGACTACTTTCCTGGCCATTTTTCATTGGACCACTTTTACGACCACTCACTTTCTTCCTTTGGGTACTCAAACGCTCTTTGAAGGTTCTAATCACACGACACACAGTGGTATTTGCAATTCCCAGCTTTTTAGCGATTCATCGGTGGGACGCCTCTGGATTTTGATTGTAAGCACAAACGAAGTGATAGACGGAGCGGCTCAACAACTTTGGTGACGAACCTGCTATTGCAATGTTTCAGTGTACCACATGGCAACACTACTACTGGATTGTATTGGAAGCAGAGGTGGCAACAGTACATTTTTTGAAAAACTATCGTCCAGAGCGAAACAAAACAGCCAGCACACGGGCGGCCGTTTATAACTACATTCCAAGCGAACAGCGGAGATAGAGAATAAATAAAATCTCGCAGCCTGATTTTTCCAAACAGTTTATTGTAATGAAATTTTAGCTTCAGGCTTGCGTGTGACAGTAAATTACCAACTCCCTTATTTACGCATAATTTTAACATCAATGCTTATGACTGGTTAGTCTTCATTCTTATCTTTTAATTCCATGCAATAAACATCAAATAAATGCAGTAATTAGCCAGAAATCAGCAAAATTCTACACGACATAAATTTATGTCGCGCGTGCCGCCGGTCTTGTCTGCTTTTTTGTGCGAAAATGTTCTGTCGCTGGCAGAAAACAGTTTAGAAATGTCATGACATTTTTGCCGCTTGCCAGTTTGTTTTTGTGTGTCGTCAAAATGGTTATCGCAAAAAGTATCAAATGTTAAGGAAAAAATGTTAAACTCCAGGACTCGTGCCACCACTGATTGGAAGCATTTCCACCAAATCAGGGGAAACATGTCAGAAGGGTATAACTCGAAAAGTAAACAATGACTTTGAACGTCGATTTGTCTTGAATGAGCACACACTCACGGAATCTGACTACACCAGCTCATAGAACAAACATTGTTCTGTCTGATGATTTAGTTAGTTTGAGTGGGTGTGTTGTCATTCGTAAGAAACCGATGAACCGATGAGTCATTGTTTACGTTTCGAGTTAGACCCTTCTGACATGTTTCCCCTGAAATGTACTAGAATGATTTGGTTCTATCTCTTTCACTCTACTCAAAACTGAAATGCATAAAAAATGACAAAATGATACACTCTTTGCACACTGTCAAAGATCATTGCACACAAAATCAACTTTGTTCAAATCAAAACAAAAATACTAGCCTATCTGGTGGCTGATGTTACAAGCTTCTAAGAAAATTCTATTAAAGCGAACCACATTATTTTAATAGATTTCTTCAACAGTTAGTCGTCTGTCACTTCGTTTGTGATTGTAAGTGCACAATTTTTTTTCACTGGCTATTTCTCGATTCGATGACATGACTGGTATGAAAAGTTATGAAATTTGACAGATGTAAACAATGCACTATGAATAAGATTTAATCAAATATTCAGGTTTTTTACTCATACGGTTCAAAAGTTACAGAAGATATTCGGTGTACCATTTTTATCGAATACACCCTTTACTTACGTTTCTCTCTCGTCACTCCAAAATAAATGCCTAAATTAAATCGTATTTCCAATTGATATTGGCACGACACAATGGAATATTTTTTGCATTATTTACACCACACTCTGTAGTTTTAGTCGAAATTCATTTACAAAATTACAATGTAGATGATAATTTGGAGACGAATCTTGATATCGGCTAGCAATTGCTGTGCGTAAGCCATATTGTTTTGCTTTGAACAAACCTCAGGTAAACTAATAAAGTTCATTTAGTCGTCGTATAAAACAATTATCATAGTTCGAAATACTCATTCATACGAAACATATAATAAAAATCTTAATTCTAATTTAGTATGATTAAATAAGGCCAGATATTCCATTAAATAGACTATTTTGGTATTATTATTTTTGAAATTATAGACTATAAAATAAAATGATGTTTAAAAAATTGTTTATTTTTCCCAGAAATATATTGTTTTTCTCTACATACTCGAGTCAGGCGACATTTTGATCAAAAATGCCATTTCCATCCTACATTTTTTTGAAAAATTTCAAAGACGCCTTTTTGAAAATTTTACTAAATCCAAAATGGTAGAATTTTAGCAAAAATCTAAAGCGATGGTCGATTCAAATTTTTGCTTCGCTATTTTGCTTGGAACTGCCCAATTATGAAATCATTTGACGCGAGTTTACGATTCGTGAGCGCTCACTCTGAGTGAACGCTCACGAATCATGAAATCGCTGAATGTGATGCTCGAAAGTGAAATTGATAGGTTTTATGAGTCTTGCACATACCGGTGGAAACTAACGATTTTAAATTGGCTCACTACTTGACTAGCCTATTGGTCCGAAGTACATCTATAAGCGTACCCAATTCTAGTCTAAATTCTAGTACTACACTATGATATAAATGAGGGGACAGATAAAATGAGGGGTTCGTGGATTTTCCTATGTTTCGAGAGGTGCATCGATTAGCTTGGGACCGAAGAGAGTACCAGAGCTGAGCCAAAAAGTTGAGCACGTTTCTTCGGGACCTTCTGGTCTTAGACTTACGTCTATGAAACAACCTCTTCTTATAATTTACAAGTTCATCTAATGATTTCATAGTTTAGAAAAACTTTTTTTCTTACATACCTTATTACGTTGTTTTTGCTTTTAATTCTACTACTGTTGTATCACTTTCACTTCACTATTCACTTTCACTATCACTTTAAAATAAACTATAACAGATACGTATTTCGTTTACTACTTGCAAACTTCTTCAGTGTCTAGTTATATGATTATGACTAGACACTGCAGAAGTTTGCAAGTAGTAAACGAAATACATATCTGTTATAGTTTATTTTAAAGTGATAGTGAAGTGAAAGTGATACAACAGTAGTAGAATTAAAAGCAAAAACAACGTAATAAGGTATACAATTATTCTACTAAAACGCTCATTAGTCAATTTAGATTTTTTATAGCAAGCGAGTGGAAGCAACCCTGCTCAAAAGTATAATCATAAACATTGATACAGATTGTATCTGCAATGGTACAGAATTTTTGAAGCTTAACTATAATGAGGCATAGTTCATAGATAGCACTCGAATCGCTTGGGAATATATGGGATGTCACCGTTATTCCGCTAGCGTATGCAAGCGGTAAATTAATTTGCGAGATAGCAATCTTTCTCACAATTTAAATAACTCGGTGCAATCAATAAAAGTTAGTTAACTAGTGAAATTAATAAGGAGGGAAATGTGGGACAATTCAACAACAACAAAACATGAAGCGAACATTAAACAGTAATCATATTAACGGTGCAGGTTCTACAATCCAAGATGACACGACAGCGATCCCCGCGTGTATTCAGTCCCCCGTCTACCTCCCTCCAAAATTAAACAACAAGCAAAGCTCAGGTATTCCCGGCAAACTATTGGAACCCATTCCCTTTTCGACTTCATTTTAGAGCAAACACGAAGGCGACGCCATTACGATGCAGTCATCATCGTCGACCGAGTCCAAAAAAGAACGCAGCAGCAAAACCAAGGACAAGCGTGACAAAACCGACGAGGAGAAGGAACTTCGCAAGGAGCGTAAGCTCGGCAGAAAGAGGGTGAGTAGGTTCGATTAGAGCTCGAATGAGGACTGGGAAGATATAATGGTTGCAATTTTTCGCACAGGATCGCGCCGAAGAGATCATGCTTGCCGAAAAGCGTCGTCGCGAGGAGGAGAAAGCCAAGTTGCATTTGCAGAACGGTGAAGATGATCTTGGTCCTTCCCATCGCGACAAGCATCATCACTTGAGGGTAAATCACGATTTTGTGTGGGAAAAACTGAACCAAGTGGTTGTTTTAATTGTTGTGTTTTCTTTTTCTTTTTTTCTTTTAGGAAAAATCACCTCCCTACAGTGGTCGGGATCATCGCGAACGATCACACGATCGCATCGATCGCAGTGAGAAGCCGTACATTACGAAATCATCGCGCACAAGATCTGGCTACTAGACTTTCCTCGATGACTCGTGCGAATCAATGAAAAGTTTTATCATTAATTTCCTACAAGATTACGTTTTTCTTCTTTTCTGACTCATCAGTACAAAGCAGCAAATTATTTTTGAAATAGAAAAGTGACCATTATATTTTTTGGCGATCATTATTAAAAATTTACTTTAACAATTAAGTTGCGTTATGATATACTTTAAGAACAATACTTTACATAGCAAGCACGAGTATGAGAAAGTTCAGTGTGCTCGAGAAAAAGTGTGGATGATCTCTTAAGAAGCATAACGAGAATCGCAAATGTGTTCGATTCCAATGTCTTTTACAAGATTAGATTAGAACTAAACCAGAGAAGATAATTCTCAGGTTATGCAACCCTGTGCATATAAGGAAGCAGTACGTTTAAAAAACATTCATAATTGATCATTGATGACTGCGTGATTTCGAACATCTCCTACATCTCTGTCGTTTGGAAAACGTGCTAATGTCATCACGAGAAGAATATAAACAAACTGTCCGTCGTAAGATAAAAAAAAGCTGCTTGGAAGAAACCATTTATTCTGTAGAACAAAAAAGAAAACTCACAATCTGTTCAGTTGTCATAAATAAGTAGATTCTAAAAATGAGATGGAATGTGTTTTAAACTCTAATTTGTGTGTGTGTGATTATCATCATTCTTGTTAGTAACGAAGCGAAGCACCATCTTACATCAGACCAATGTACATGAATTGATGCTCCGCGTTGGATTGGGGTTCAAACCGACGGGAGATTCTTGCAACAGGACATGCGATGACGTCGAAGGTGATTCCGGCTTGAATAGCTGAGACTGGAGCAGTGGTGTTGCCTCCGAGGATCCGTGTGAGTGACGGTTTCGACGCTGGAATATTCAAGCAAAAGTTTTAATTGATCCAGGTACTAACATGTAAGAAACGAACCCTATTGTCAGCATCTGCATCGTCTTCATGCCGTCGTAACCGCCATCCGCAGTTCCACCTCTGATACACCAATGAGTTCAGGAATGCCTGAAGTGGATTTGTTATAGCCTAAAACAGTCCGAACATTTTTTACCCATTCTCACAATAATTATTTCCAGTCGCGTCCTTACCATCACATACCACACTGTGACGATTGTCTGGAATGGTAACGAAAACCACATGGTCCACAGGATGATACCGTTGAGCAAGTTCGGTAACCAGCACACGTAAAACACAAAATTGATTAGAGAGAATTTCATCTTAAACTTGGTCATGAGATCGCGCTCGGTGGATGTCATCTGGCTGAAGCGCGCCACCAGCTGCCGATCGACCTCCTTGGAGGCCGCAAAGTACAGCACCGGATTGGCCACCATCACTGCTATCATCGGCCCGTAGGTGGTGAGGTAGTTTGGTAGTATCCGAAGATAGGCACTGCCTACGTCGTGCACGTTGTGACAACTGCAGTGAAATAAAACATACCAATCATATTAGATCAACCACAACTAGCTATCAGATTTCATCCGTACTCAGCATCCGGAACGTAGAGCACCGTCAACCCGGTCGCTGTCAGTACCGCTGAAATGCTCCACACGTAGAGGTGATACGTTCGCAGTGCCACCCTGGTACCGCTCAGCTGCCGCCGCACATTGATCGCGTAGCTCAGCGTCCAAAGCCACGTGCACATATAGAAATACTGAATCCATGCTGACGAAACGGCACAAAAGATAACGTTAGTCGTGTCGACATCGTCGCTGTCCGGTGGGATAACATTTTTGATATACTTCCACAGGGCCGACCGGAGGAATACACCGAGCGAGGCGCACAGATCGGCTACCGCTAGCCACACGATAATGCTACGCCCCGTACTATAGCTGGCGGCTGAAGCCGAGCCCGGGCGACGACGGTGGACGAACTGCGGATTGGGTGGGTCTTCGTTGCGGATCCAAATCTGGAATGGAAATGCAAGAGGAAAATGAGAAAATGCTTTCGTTTTACATTTAATCTTTTACAACAGACATCTGGTTCTATTGATACTAAAGGGAGTATTCGATAAAAATGGCACACCGAAAATCTTTTGTAACTTATGAAGCGTATGAGTAAAAAACCTGAAAATTGTGCCTTAAGAAGCCATTCATAAGGAAGCACAAAGGATCAACTCTGTTTTGGCCTGATCTAGCATCCTACCACTACGCTCGAAACGTGTTTTAGTGGTACCGAGCCAACGGAGTCAATTTTGTGCCAAACGATATGAACCCACCAAATGCACCGGAACTTCGCTCAATTGGAAAATTCTGGGCAATTATGAAGACGGAACTTCGCAAACATCCCAAAACTATTAAAACAGAGCTGGAGTTTAAGAAAATTTGGATAAAAACAACAAACACTGGGATTATCGGTTGTACAAAATTTGATGGGTGGAGTGAAAAGGAAGGTGCGGGCATTTGGAGTGGGAAACGAAATTGAATAAAACAAATTTTGTAAATCATAACTAATTAGCAGTTTTTCATTCCCTGAAAATTTCAAGAAAATTAGATAATCGTTTTAATTTTGGTGAGTAAATATATGTGTGTCATTTGTATCGAATACACCCTTTACTATACCAAAGGCGTACCAACTGCTTGGCCGTCCAATCTCACTCAGCTATAGCTACTGTGTATGGACGATCAAATGTTAAATACTGTGGTAGCCACAGCATAGTTCTGTCAGAACCTCAGCATTTTCATTGATCCATTGCCACCTCGGGTGAGGTACTCAAAGCAAATGGCCAATTGTCACTTCACACGCCGCATAGAATAGGTCTAATAGTGGCCCTTATTACGACTGTTACTTCACGGTAAAAATGAAGTGAAGTGACCACTTGTCACTCTCGGTGGAGTGATTAACGTGTAAATCAAATGGGAATCACTTTACCGTGAGTGATGAGTTGTCACTTCTACTCAGATGAAAGTTTTTTTTTAACGTAGGCTACTTAGCGCTAAGTAACAGCACCTTCCACTTCCCATACTGTGTATGGACGATCAAATGTAAAATACTGTGGTAGCCACAGCATAGTGCTGTCAGAACCTCAGCATTTTCATTGATCCATTGTCACCTCGGGTGAGGTACTCGTAGCAAATGGCCAATTATCACTTCACACGCCGCATAGAATAGGTCTAATAGTGGCCCTTATTACGAGGGTTACTTCACGGTGAAAACGAAGTGAAGTGACCATTTGTCACTCACGGTGAAGTGATTACCGTGTAAATCAAATGGGAATCACTTTTTTTTAAACGTAGGCTACTCAACGCTGAGTAACAATTTGGCCACTCAACTGGGACTCAACCGGGAATCGAAAACAACCGGGAAATTGATTGGAACATTTATCATATTTATTTTTTTAGGTCCAATATATCGATATATCACTTATAATCTTAAATCAAGCCCCTTAAATCTTGAACAGTTTTCCAATACCAGAATCTTGAAATTTATTCCCTAATTTATTGCATCTCGAGAAGGAGGGGGTTATGGCAAGGTGATCGCCTTTCGCGTCTGTTATTTAACATCGCGTTAGAAGGTGTGATATAGATACAGATACGAGTGGCACGATCTTCAGAAGGTCCATCTAGTTTCTTGGCTTCGCCGATGGCATCGACATCATGGCACGAAACTTTGAGACGATGGCGCAAACGTACATCAGACTGAAGGCTGAAGGTAGGTGGATTGGACTTGCCTTCAACACATGAGAGGAAGAGGTTCAGACAATGTTAGACTCCTACCCGAGTTCAGATTGACGGTGACGAAATCGAAGTGGTCGACAAGTTCGTGGATTTGGGCTCACTGACTGGTGACCGCCGAAAATGACACCAGCAGAGAAATGCAAAGACGCATTATGGCAGGGAATCGTGCCTACTTTGGACTCCGGAGGCCATTCCACAATCAGGCCACTGTCCGGCTTCCTCGAAGCATTCGTCTCCGGGGCAATCGCAAATGGTGGAAGCATCCAAAATATGCGGACCGAACGAATGCTCGGATGCAGAGACTAAGCAGCAAACGACGTCCGCGGCGGCGCCAGGGAAGACAAATGTACGAGAAGATAGTGAGTAAATGAGAGAAAAAGGTGGAAAGAGAGAGGAAAGAAGAAGCTAGTGAGATTTAGGAGACGCAGATTTTTTTTTTCCTCTGTTCGGGACCTAACACTACTGCGACCAGTAAATTGATCTATTGTAGTATATCCCGTGTCCTTAGTTTAGTGCATGTCGTATTACTCCATCACTATGGAGAAATGATGAAGTATTCGATTTTTTACAGTTGCCACTCTTGCATTTATCGCAAGGATCTGACTCTAATTGAAAGGTCCCTCCAAAGGCGCGCCCCTTTGTCAGTCAAACTTGGATTCCTTAGCAACAAAATTAAGGTATGACACCAATAATGACCATGCTTCAGAACCCTAGTCTTAACCACTTCAAACTAGGGAACAACTAATAGAAGATTAGGAATCACACAGATGAAGACAACTAACTCATTTTTTCCTTGTTTCAAGATCATCCTCGGTAGACAAAGCCGAGTCTTGTCACTATCAACAAGGCATAAAAAGTAACAAGGACTAAGATGTCTTCCTTGGATTACTGAAAAATCCTGTTCCCCTAGTTTGAAGTAATTGGGACTAGGAATCGGTGGTAGATCTTACATCCCGTAACGTACCACGAAAAGGTGATCTACACACGTTACGAGGCAGGAGACGCAGATGCGTCAAGTAAGAGTTCAGGAGTTAAAGAAGGAAAATAAAGATTGTACGATAAAATCTATGGTATTGTTGAGGTGATCATTGTGTGTTGGCCGGTTCGGCCAAAGCTTTCATACCTGCTGAGGTCGTTTGCAACAATATTCAATACACTTTCATCTCGTTATTCTGAACCATATATAAATAATCGCAAGGTTCTAGGACAACTTTTATAATGTGGTCACTTTATCAGTCGTTCCGGATCTTCCTTTAAACCAGTAGAGGTTCCCTGAGGGTGTAAATGGTTTCGTTATACCATATATACTTAGTACTATCAATTTCCAGTAATATTCGTAAAGTGAGATGTAAAACATGTCGATAGATAGAGGCATTTCCTACTTTACTGGGAACTCAGGTTGATTCAGGCCCTCTATCCCAGCAGGCAATGAAACCAGAGTTTTTCCTTTAAAAATATATACAACATGTTGACTGAAACCGTTTTGTAGCCGAGATATTCAATTTAATCGTGGTTATGTCAATATTCGCCCACCCGTGGTTTGCCCACTGTGCAAAGGTGGCCGTCTTACACCGATACAAGCCAAACTTTAACAGCTTCTGTAGTACCGCATAGTTTAAAAAACCATTCAATTTTTAGTAACGTTACTTTTACATTATCAATGATATGATAGCCCTAAAACATTTTTAGGTATTTTGATCACTGCGACCAGTATTTAGCCCTAAAACAATAAATGCCGTAAACATGAAGGCCGCCGCCACACATAATGTTTGTTTTTGATGTTTATTTTGACGTTTCACTTGTTATCAAGCTAGAATCTGTTATAAAACAATAACTATACTATAGCAAAGAACTCTGCATCATTATTTTTATTCAAGAGTTGATTGTTTCAATAATCTAAAGAGTGGCCCGTCGTCTCCAACTAAAGATCCGGCAACTAGCAATAGAGACCAGTGACGTTTAACGCACGCACACTAACGGGAGTCTATCGCCGTGTAAAGTTCTTTATTATTTTCCTCGGGCTAACCTCAAAATGTATGTAATTCGAGTAGTAATAATGAGATTGACAGCGGTTTGTTATGTATTTTCCTCGAATTTTCATTACCACAGTTTCACACAGCGCACCAATACAACCAGGCGTGAAAATGTCTACTGGGAAAATGGAATAGAGATTTTCACGTCCAGTTGTATTGGTGCGATATATGCGAGCGTGTTAGTGAATATCCGAGAAAAGTACATAACAAATCGCTGTCAAACTCATGTTGACAGATCTAATTTCATACATTTTATAGGTTAGCCAAAGGAAAATAATAAACAACTTTACATAGCGATCCACCATGTGCATGCGTTAAACGCCACTAATCTCTATGTACCGACTAAAACTCCAACTAGGAAGTGTCAAATTCTATTACCGAATTGCATAGAAAATATACGGTATAATTTTTGATTCACTGCTTCCTGTTCGCAGATGATACCGCAATAGCCGTCAAAGGAAGGATGCCTCGCGAAATAACGAACAAACTTCAACGATGCCTTAACGCCTTTGCTGATTATGCCACCACGTGGAAAATCAAAATCAATGCCTCCAAAACACAAGCGATCATGTTCCTCCATCGGCAATCGCCCAAACTGAAACCGGCTCCATCTTGTACTGTAATCATGAATGGCACAAGGGTTGAGTGGTCCGCCGAAGTAACCTATCTCGGGATGTTGTTCGATGAAAAGCTCCTCTTCCGTTCGCATGTAGAGAAAACAGTAGTCAAGTGTTCTGTCTTGGTTAGGTGTCTGTATCCGCTGATTTGCCGCAGATCCCGCCTCTCATGGGTGAACAAACTGGCTGTCTACAAACAAATCATAGCACCTGCGATCCTCTACGCAGCTTCGGTGTGGGAATCATGTGCACAGACTCACAGGAACAAAATCCAAATCGCTCAGAATAGAGTGCTGAGGATGGTTCTTGATCGTCCTTTCGACACTAGAATAACAAATTTACATGAAGAGGCAGGCATTGCCAAAATAGATTCCCGAATTAACGAAATTAAGACTAAATTTGCACAAAAATGTAATTTATCAGAACATGCTTTGATAAGCAATTTGTATATAGTAGATTAGGTGTATATAGTTGTTGTAGGTTAGTTATAGTTGTAAATAGTAGTTATAAGTAGTCTCATTTTTCAAATTTAAAACAAACCAATCCCACCAAGGTGGTCATTCTTAAAACAGGCCTGATAGTACTAGGAACTGTAATTAATAATAATTGAAATTTCAAAGGAATTAAAGTTGAAAAGACGCATCTGTGTCACTTGATAAGTTATACATGTAGACCACACAAATTCAAGAAATATAGATCATTTAAAGTCTTAAAAGTTTGATTCACTGCATAAACAGGTTCTCTCTAATGTTGCTAACACTTCGAATATAATTGAATTTCACCACGAAAAAACGTGCTGAACACCATGCTTATATTTGGTGAGTTGGAATGAATCATTACTACACCACACTTGCGGGGCTTCTTTCTTAGAATATTGTACAGATTAATGAAGTCATCCATTAGCTTCCATTGATTAACAGAAACCACTGAATAGTGAATCAGCTACCACTTTTATGTATAAGTTGACAAAGTGCACAATCACACAGTCAGTAGTGCGACAACTCACCTGATAGATGGCACCAGCTATTCCGAGAACCGACGAAACAATACACACCACAATGTAGCCATCGGTGTTGAACTCGGACATGAGCTTCACAGCCGGTGGTGAACGTATCCGGTTGTGGCAGCAGAATGTCTGTATCGTTGGATCAGCCATATCTTCACACTGCACTTTCCCTTCGCCTATTTCCAACAAGGGCTAAGTATAAAATCGACCTTGAGCACAAACACACACACTCATATGCACACTTTGGAGTTCAATTACACTTGCGTTGGATATTGTTACATTATTCCAACGAGTTTGATCCCCGGAAAGATCCACGCCACGCCCATCAACTGGCAACTGGTGCACTTAGACTGACTGCCTTCTAATCCATGCTTCGGAATAGAATTTCGGCTGCAATCAACGGGTTCTTCTTACTCATGGAAAATCTTCACTCGCAGGTTCCTTCAAGCAGCGGACCAGCGAGCTTATCATCGAGGTTTTTTGCTCGTATCACTCGTTCACTCCAATCCCGGCTCTCATCTCATCGCACTTATCACTGTTGATGTTGGTTTAATGTTCACCAAAAATGTCGACACATCAAACAAGATTTCCGTAAACGTAATGCTTCGGAAGCCATATTTTGACTTCTTATCTCACGCCTAAGGCGGTTAAAGAGACTCTTTCGTGCGACGACACCGACGATAAACATGTGACACGTGTTCTTCAGATTTGCTGTGTGCTAAAATCCTAGTTCTCACGACGATCTTCTCTTCTCTCCTCACGCCCAAGCCTAGACTAGACTGATACAGACAATCCTAAATTTGCACTGTTATTGTTGGTCAGTGAGTGTGGTGCGGTCACTTCTGCATCTCCCACCGCGACGACTGATAAGGTCGATTCCGTTTTTGTTTTTGCACGCTTTTTATTAGTCATGACATTGAATGGGAAAATAGAAACGAGTAAGACTGATAACGTTCGTTCCTAATAGGTGTATACATTATAATAAGCTACTCGACTTGTACTTGCAGATTGTTGCGTATGGTCCCGACCGTCATTGATGCTCGATGACGACAGACAGGCAGCCGGATGAAAGTGAATAAGTTGCACCGGCACCATGGACATGTGGTCGTCTCGTCGTACCTGGGTATGTGTCTGAATATCCGATAAGAGGTAAGTCCCAAAGAAATTCATATCCCTTCGCGTCCCACTACTGGGCACTAGTCATGCGTGTTCGTGTGGGAACACGTGAAGCCGCAAAAATGTGGTTAACGCTCGGCGAACGGAGGTGCTTCTCTATATATATATTTACAGAAAGCAGTGCAGTGACTGCAGGGAGTGATCAATGAAGGGAAACACACTACTATCCTTCATTTCGGTGTCCTGTCATTAGGTCGAAATACACTAGAACGAAGAACGTTAGCTTAAATGGGTCTTAAAGGTTGAAGTTTTTTTTGTTGGGAACATAACATATATCATAATTGTGCTCAGAAAACTGCGATCTTTCAGATTATGTATAATATAGTTTAATAATTAAAGAACCCAGTTAAGTGAATTTCGTTCTAAGAAATTCTGAATATTGAAAACAAAATTCAATTTACCGCTGACTACTTACACAAGAATAAGAAAGTAAATTCACTTATTTATCTTGAACTGTTCTCATTATCTTTAGCTGTCGAGTCTATTATTTCAATGGAAGGTGAAGAACTGCGTCAGTAGTATTAATGCAACGGTTATAGACAAAAGTTGATTTATTGAGATAAAAGTAAGATATTCAACTTTTCTCTAATGATATTCATATAGGTAGATAGTAATAACAAAGCCTGATATTATTCTTACTATGAATATCAGTATCATCATTGAAATTCAGTGCTAGACTAATAGGGTAGAGAACTACTTCGGCCTAATCGCCCATTTTGGGCCTATCGAACAGAAAACTTCAAAGAAATCCATGATGTCAGAGTTAACAAGTCAATTATGCGTTTGGTACGGTACTTTAGTTAATAAGCTTCCGAACGAAGTCATTGTGAACGCGTGATATGAAGGTTTGCACCAATTATTCCCACAAACAAAAGAAGCGCTCCGACCGAATCAATTTTTATTTTCATCCGATAGGCCGAAGTGAATTCATTTGCCTTTCAATTCGTTAGACCGAATTTAGAATCCGTAGGCCGAGTTTGGCGTCAATAAGCAGTGTTAGACTTTTAACAATATCTCAACGATTGGTTTCTCTTTGTCAAATCTTACGGTACGTACGGAAAGGTAAATAAATTTGGAAGCCATCAGTATTATTAACATTCCGTTTGGTGCCAAACTTCGCTAGATTAAGAAAGACTAAGTGCGGGTTGTGCTTAATAGGCCGGGAATGGGGTAATTAACCCTATCATACATCAATTGACACTAGTGGTTAACATCTATATTGCCGTTCTACGCATATCTGTCCCATGTTCTAAAAGTAACATCTGAGGAAATCGCGAATAATGTTTCGAACCATTTCTGCTCATGGGAAGATAAGTTAAAATAATTTAGTGCATTGTTCACATTTCAACAGAATCAATTTGTTTTAGTGAAAACTACAGAAATTACCTTCAATGAAATTAGTTAAGCCTATTTTTATACGAAAACAATTCTGTGGGACTGTTATGCTGAGAAATTTGCTATGAAGTAGGAAATTCTACGCATATCAGTCCCACTAAGAACTATTACTTTCCGTGTTGCTTTGATGGCCACGTTGCGTTTGACGTCTTTACTCGTGTGGTTGTGGTTGTGTTGACATGAGCATGCTTGAATTCTCCTCGAAGTTTTGAAAGTAGATGCAAACTAGGTTTGTAATGAAACCAACAATAAGTGCGTTGAGATTGCAGCAATCGTCGTTTGCTACATCTATAAAGCCTTTAAAGTATGGGCATCATGAGAAACAAATGATGAATGCTCTGTATAGAACACAATAAGTTTGTCGATTGTGGACTTCGATGAGTTCAAGAAAGACTTTGGAAAAGTCAACATACACAGTAAGGATCTCTTCCGTACGGAGTTGTCCTTTATACTGCGTATTATATTCAACCAAATGCATCCATGTCAGTATATTGAGGACATTCTAACGACTAAATTTACGAAAGGACGATACGACAACGGATTTTCTGAATCAGTCAACAGAAACCTTATTTTAACTACAAAATATGGTAGCAGCTATCAGCTTGATGAATGAACACATGAAGTGACAGAAAGTTCCATCATTTTTTTTCTTTTTTTTTTAAACTCTTTATTTGTTCCAAATTCAAAATAAATTACATTTCATTTTTAACCTAGGTGCTCCAGTTACTGCAGTAACGTACCAGCCTTAATTGTTATGATATATATATCTAAGTGTTTTTACATTGTTCATGTCTTGGCAATTAAGTATTTTAAACAGGTTTTTTAACCTGCATGTCAGTATAACAATTGATATCTTAAAACTAAAAACTAAAACTAAATCTTATCTAAGTATAAAGGGAATTAATCGTTGCAATTGAGGATTGCAACGATTTTTGCCTGAAATTATTCATTATTTTGTTGGACATTTGTGCTAAAGTCTCAACATTCGAAATTCTATGTACTTCGGTTGTACTGTACCAGGGAGGCAACTTCAAAATCATTTTCAGAACTTTGTTCTCAATCCTTTGAAGTGCTTTTTTCCTGGTAGTGCAACAACTAGACCATATTGGCACAGCGTAAAGCATGGCCGGTCTAAAAACTTGTTTAAATATTAGAAGTTTATTCGTCAGGCAAAGTTTGGATTTCCTGTTTATAAGAGGATACAAACATTTAATATATTTGTTACATTTGGCTTGAATGCCCTCAATGTGATCTTTAAAAGTTAATTTTTGGTCAAGTATTAATCCAAGAAATTTCACTTGGTTTGACCAGGAAATTGGAACTCCGTTCATAGTGACTATATGACTACTACTAGGTTTCAAAAACGAAGCTCTAGGCTTGTGTGGAAATATTATAAGTTGAGTTTTGGAAGCGTTGGGAGAAATCTTCCATTTTTGTAAATAAGAAGAGAAAATATCTAAACTTTTCTGCAGTCTGCTGCAAATAACACGAAGACTTTTTCCTTTAGCGGAAATGCCTGTGTCATCAGCGAACAAAGATTTGTGGCAACCCTGAGGCAAATCAGGGAGGTCCGAAGTGAAAATGTTATACAATATAGGCCCAAGAATGCTACCCTGAGGAACTCCTGCTCTAACAGATAGTCGATTAGATTTGGAATTTTGATAATTTACCTGCAGAGTTCTGTCAATTAAATAATTTTGAACTAATTTCATAATATAAATTATGAAAATTAAACTTTTTCAATTTAGCAATCAAACCTTCATGCCAAACACTGTCGAATGCTTTTTCTATGTCTAGAAGAGCAACTCCAGTTGAGTGGCCTTCCGATTTGTTTGAACGAATTAAATTGGTAACTCTTAAGAGTTGATGAGTAGTTGAATGCCCATGGCGAAATCCAAACTGCTCATCTGCAAAAATTGAGTTCGTATTGATGTGAAGCATCATTCTATTCAAAATTATCTTTTCAAAAAGTTTACTTATTGAAGAAAGCAAACTTATTGGACGGTAGCTAGAAGCTTCAGCTGGATTTTTATCCGGCTTCAAAATTGGAACAACTTTTGCATTTTTCCATTTATCAGGAAAGTATGCCAAATGGAAACATCTGTTAAATAATTTTACCAAGAAAGACAAGGTACTCTCTGGGAGTTTTTTGATGAGGATATAGAAAATTCCATCATCACCTGGAGCTTTCATATTTTGAAACTTTTTAGTTATAGACCTTACTTCGTCCAAATCAGTCCCCCAGGAATCATCAAAAATATTTTCCCGAGAGAAAATATTCAGAAAATCCCGAGCAACCTGATTCTCAATAGGACTAGTAAGACCCAAACTGAAATTATGGGAACTCTCGAATTGCTTAGCAAGTTTCTGAGCTTTTTCCAAATTTGTGATCAAAATTTTACCACCTTCTTTAAGCGCTGGAATAGGCTTTTGAGGTTTTTTCAAAATTTTTGTGAGTTTCCAAAAGGGTTTGGAACTCGGGTCTAATTTAGAAACAATATTTTCAAAAGTTTTGTTCCTCAGGGCAGAGAATCGCTTTTTAATTTGTTTTTGCAAATCCCGCCAGATAACTTTCATGGCAGGATCGCGTGTTCTTTGATATTGTCTCCTACGGACATTTTTAAGACGGATCAAGAGCTGAAGATCGTCGTCTATTATAATTGAATCGAATTTAACCTCGCATTTTGGTACTGAGCCAGCTCTTGCTGCAACTATAGAAGTAGTCAGAGATTCAAGAGCATAATTAATTTCATCTTTGGTTTGCAAAGGAATGTTTGGATCAAAGTTATATTCCATAAATGTTCGATACTGCTCCCAATCAGCTCTATGGTAATTGAAAGTAGAGCTGTTGGGATTACAAATTATTTCTTGGGATATTTCAAAAGTTACTGGAAGGTGATCAGAACCGAAGTCAGCATGGGTAACCAGTTGGCTACAAAGTTGACATGAATCAGTTAAGACCAAATCAATAGTGGAGGGATTTCTTGCAGAAAAAAAGCATGTTGGGCTGTTTGGATATTGAATAGTGTAATAACCTGCAGAACAATCATCAAACAGAATATTACCATTGGAATTGCTTTGAGCATTATTCCATGAGCGGTGTTTTGCATTAAAATCACCAATAATGAAGAATTTAGACCTATGACGGGTAAGTTTCTGGAGGTCACCCTTGAGAAAATTCTTTTGCTGGAATGGCAAA